GATTCTCGAGAACTTAAACCTTTTTTTGTTAATTTCATCAAAGCGTTATCTAAAAAGGAACATTTTCTAGCGTTCTAATTGAAGTTACAAATTTCAATTAGATAATTTAATTCAATTTTTCGTTAACCCTCCTCTCTGGTTTTGCAATGCCTTACCATTTTCCCATGCACTAAGTAAACAATTTCGTTCTCATGCAATATATCGCTACGAAAAATTAATGCATGAGGACTCGGCTTCAAGTATTTAATAACTGATCTAATATTGCAAACATTATTATATGATGCCTGAGATAGCTTTTAAAGTTAATACAAGCTATAGGTCTAGCTATCGTTTGGAAATTTGATTATGAACATCTTATGCGATGCTGGATCGTCTTCAACAAATAATATTACTCTTTAATTTAAAATTGTAGAATATATACATTGAATTAAAAGTCGTGTACTGTAGATTTGTTATTCTTATATTTTTATCATTAGATTATAACGCAGAAAGTGCACAAGCAACATTAATACTTTTAGTCCAATATTATATTAACTAATATTAATAGTTATAATATAACAACCTTGAATGCGTCGGGTGTGTTCTCTCCTGCCAATGTAAACTGAGCCTCCGGCGAGTATGTGTAGGAGATCATTGGGTGTCGAACAGCTCAGCCGTGACGCCTGTTTACTGCTCCTGTTTACGCGCCCACCTCTTCCTGTTGACAGCCGTTGCCCTGTTTACATTTCTGGGGCTTTTCCGTTAGCGCGGAAATATATCGCTCCAAGTATGTAGACGTTGTTGCTAGAGCGCACCGGAGCACGTTTCTCGTGTTACCTTGCTTCTACTTCGGTGTTGTGTTTCACTTTGAACTGAAACTTGCATAGCTAGAATATGCCATTTTTTAAAAGTTTTCAAAATTTAAATGGAAACATTTCCTTTACCGTTAGTGCATAATAAAACTCCTCAAAATAGTAGAGTTTACTGAATTTAATAGTGCTTTCATTTTAATGCAATTCGTATCGCGCAAGCGGTAAGATGCTTCTTATATTGTTATAATAGGGACTCATATATACCTAGATAACTTAAGATATTAAAATATATAACACTCTACGGTAAATGTGCGAAATATTTCAATATCTTTTAATACCGCCTCTGTAACAATTTTTCTATGTGAAAGCGGAAACACGAATTGGGACGTGTATTTCGTAGAACTGGCCGTTCCGATGTTCAAGCTTGTTCATATGAGTGAGTTTATTGTTATAAATTCAACATACTCGTCACAGGCGGGTGAGTCGTAATAGTGAAACGGCCTTTTTGATTTTTAACGTATAATTTCTTGCTTATTATTTGTGAATATGTAAATATGCGAACATCTTTGGTCGGAGAAAATGGCTACTGAATTCTCGAGTATAGATTCACCATGTATTGTTTTAAATTAAGTTACAGTATTTCCTCCTTGAATTTGCATTAATTTTTTCTTGCGTTTAAATTTTTAGGAGCTTATATTTTGCTTTTGAGTCAAATACAGCGAATGAAACTCGGTGAGCACTTTATCGACAGAAAATCTATCGGTGAAGTTTAAAGTTGAACTCTGTATTCTTTCAGATGTTTAAAATATTGGTGAAGCGTATTATGGTTCTCAGTTCACTTTGAATGTGTTAGCTAGCCTGCGACAAGGAAAATGCTAACATCAGAGTGCACTTTGGAAGTAACTCCAGCAACGCCTCCGCCCCCTTCAGCATTCTCCGACATCACCTCATCTAAAGCAAGTGAATCGACAGTCGCTCCTTTGTATGTCCCCTCTACAGTTCTAAGCCCCGTAAATACTTGCACAAATGCTCTCGACCAAGAATCCAAATCTACGGCGGATGGTGGTATCCTAAAACCTGTTCAACCTGTCGATCAGCTACCCTCGTCCGCTTCTAAGTACTTTCCTATGGGCACATCTCGAATTACTGTTCCAGGTTTGGATTCTACATATGACGAAGCTCCTGACCTAGCAGATTCTCAGCGTTCACCTGTTGCTGCAGAATCTACGAATCGTAGCACAGTTTCTAACCCTCGAATCTATGAGTGTTCCGCTGAAGATATCGAATCACATAGGCCCAGTGGAAATCTAAAGCGTCGGCACATCAAACAACGGAGTTTGGGTGAACCCGAGCAGGCGTTTTTGAAGGTAAACGCAACGAACCATCCCGAGGGAGTGCTGCATCACCAACATTCTCTTCAAGATGATGTTCAATCCGACACTTGCGCCGTGTCGGAGCATCAGCACTCTAAGCATCAGGTCTGTGGTTACAAAGATTCACCAATCCAAGCCTTTGTGAAACCCAGCAAGTACCTGCACATTCCTTTTGCAGATGCCGGCGGGGTTCCTAGGTCTCCGAGAAGATCCCTTGGTTCTGTATGGAGGGCTTCCTCGAATTCACCTGCTAGGCAGTTAGGTGCCTGGATTCAAGGCCGTAGATCGAAGTTGAGTTCTGGAAGTTCTCACCCGAAGGAACTTACGGCAGAAAAGTCCGAATTCTACACCGATGTCATTCCTACAGCTTTTGTTGACCCAGCTCGGTATGTCAAAAATGATTCGAAAAGTAGACTTCTCGACTCAACTTCAAACTTACCTGATAAGACAAGGCACAAGAGTTCAAACAAACGCTGCGTTGTACGTGGGTCAAAGGATAACTCACAACTCGGCAAAGAAGGCGGGGGCAGACTGCATGGCAGGGACATCAAAGTCAGAGGTGATAGGTTCCAGTTCCGCAGCACGGATCGTCGCGAGGTCAAAAGTTGGTGTGACGAACGCATCGCTCGCCTCATTCACGGCCTGCAAAATAGCAAGAGCGATGACAGTTCCCTTCTGGCTCGCTCTTCTAAAACCAGTCTCAAATCTCCGGTACCGTCAGATTGCAATGTTTCGTCAGCCGCGAAGGCGGACAATTCTATGGTGACTAGCCCTGATGACTGTGAACAAACTGGCTCAGACCTGGAAGCTGAATTTAACGCGCGGTATCTTCTTGGCTACTGTCAGCCTTCCGCCACAAATGGCGATTCAAACTCTAACGAGCTCAAATTGAAAGAAAATGTTAGTTTCGATTTATGTGAGTCAAACACTGTCAAAAGAAGACCCAACGCTCAAATAACTACTAAGCCAACTCCCACCTCTAATTCAGCGTCCCCTTCACCATCATTGGGTTCTACCTCGTCTGACGCTTCGCCCTCCGACGTGAATAATTCTAACAGCGATAACGTCAATAATAATGAAGATTCGGCAGAGCAATTCAACTCGGAACGACCAACGCCTTCGGGCATCAGCTCCTTATCTCAGTCTACTTCATGCGGAGACCAAATTTTGAGTCCTGTTGATCTCATCACAAAGACGAAAACAATTCCTTCTGAATCTCTTCTGTTGACTTCTGAAGGCGTGCAAGTGTCCAACACTTCTGACCCTAAAACGTCATGGGATTTCATGCTGAGCGAGAAACTTCATAGATTCGAGGCATCGCAGCAAGAGAGAACTCCTGTGGTGGAAGATGCACCTCAAATACGCGACAGTTTCTTGTCCCCGAGCTGTCCTGTTGTCTTTGACGTTCGTAGACCTAAAATAATAAACGTTACTAAAAACAGGTCGCCTCGACTAAAACTAAACGCTAGGCCTGGAAAGGGACACTTATCATCAGCATGTGTCAATAGGTGAGTATTGGTAATTTTCTCGTAGAAGATTGTTAAGAGGTATGTTCTCTGAAAAATTTCTTCAGGAAATTGGTTTTTGTGGTAAGTTTCTGATGAATATCCCAGAATAAAAAGGTTGTACGATTTTTTCTGCAAGGATTTGGTTAATCCCATTAAAATATGCTAGATTTTTCGTGCGCGACAATAGTGTTGTTGCTGTCTTCACAGTTGGTGTATATACGGATCATCCCTGGTTGAGAATTTTTTATTTTTTTCGCGCCGCGGCATTATTTCAGGAATAGATAATGAATAATCCTCTTAAAATTACTTTGCTGTAATTTTAAAAATGGTTAACCATGAATTTGAAATCAATTTTTAAGCATATTTCGAAGGGAATTTGTAGCGCATTTTCTGTTCTGGCTCATTAGCGTCAATTGGTATTATAATCCACTTAGATAATAACTTTTATTTGAACGTGCATCTTCGTGACTGTCAATTCACGTTCTTCATTTTCATTTAATTGAACGTCACCATCTATATAATGATTGTCTACTTTCATTTTATTTTCCCTACCACCAATTATGGGATAGCTACTCTCGCATATCACAATTATATAGTTTTAATGTGCATTCTTTACTGTTATCTCGTAGCATTACCATTACCATTGTTATCTCGTAGCAGTATCATCTCGCCAGTTACATATTGTTATTTACTCTATCGCCATTCATATTATACATACCGTAATCTTGCATTACACGTTTCGTTGTGCAAACTTTGTTTTCAGACTTTGTAACGTGAATGTCTCACGTTCTATTTCATGCTTGTATCAACGCCATTCATTTTGATGAATATCCTTCAGTTTCGGCTTGTAGACGTCTCACTAATGTCTACCACCATGGTTATCTGCTCTATTATCACCTATAACATTGTTTAACTATCATCAACATTCCTGACACTGCATGAGTATCAGAAATCAACTCGGAATCGACGTTGTTGCAACATAATTTGTCTGGGTGATGAACATAGTTTATTATAATTTATAACATGCCTGTACCTTTATTATCGTCTTTCCTGACATTATAATTTCTTATCACGTTAACATCCATAAACTGACGTGTTATCCGCATTCATGACATGGAGTAACATTCATTTACAGGCTATGTAACGTAACTATCACATACCTGTTGTTCTATAGAGGCATGCACTAATCATTACATTATCAGCATTATTGACAGTAAATATAATTTATTTGCAGGTTATGTAACGTAATCATCACGTACGTGTTGCTTTATAGAGGCTTGCACTATACATTATCACCATTACTAACACTGAATATCATTTATTTACAGGCTCTGTAACGTAACCATCACACACCTAGTACTGCTGAGCCCCACCGTCTCATCTGACTTGTCGTCCGTGTTGCTCGCGGTCAAGATGCACAGCAGCAAGCGCACGCTGCGCTCCAACGAGATGCCGCTCTCACCTACCGGTGCGCTCGATACGGACCTACAGCTCTGCTACTCGCTCCAGGTATATACTTCCAATCATTTATAGTTTTATAATAACTAATCATTTATAAGTATTCCCTATTTGCTTATTTCGATAATTGTCGTTGTATTTCGATACGGACCTACAGCTCTGCTACTCGTTCCAGGTATATACTTCTACTCATTTATAAGTATTTCCTCTTCGCTTGTTTCGATTATAATCATTATATTTTGATACGGGCCTACAGCTCGGCTACTCGCTCCTGGTATATACTTCTACTTATTTATAAGTATTTCTTCTTCGCTTATTTCGATTATGATGGTTATGTTTTGATACGGCTCAATTGAAAATAGTCCCTCTTCGCTTATTTCGATTATGATGGTTATGTTTTGGTACGGCTCAATTGAAAATAGTCCATTGAAAATAGTCCCTCTTCGCTTATTTCGATTATGATCGTTATGTTTTGATACGGCTCAATTGAAAATAGTCCCTCTTCGCTTATTTCGATTATGGTCGTTGTATTTCGATACGGACCTACAGCTCTGCTAGTCGCTTCAGGTATTTAGTTCTACTCCTTTATAAATAGGTCTCGTATATGATTTTAATTATGGTTATTATGTTTTAATACCGACCTACATCTCTGCTCCTCGCTTCGGGTATATACTTCTACTCATTTATAAATAGTTATCGCCTTTGATTTTAATTATGTTGTTATATTCTGATACGGACCTACAGCTCTGCTACTCTCTTATAAAGTTCTACTCAATTGAAAATAGGTCTCGTATATGATTTTAATTATGGTAATTATGTCTTGATACGGACCTACAGCTCTGCTACTTTCTCCAGGTATATATAGTTCTACTCATTTATAAATAGGTCTCGTATTTTATTTTAAATATGGTTATTGTGTTTTGATACGGGCGTACAGCTCTGTTACCTACTTGCTTCAGGTATATACTACTTCTACTCATTCATGAATAGTTATCTTTAATTTTAATTATGACTTCGATGTTTAATTATGACCATCATATATATATATACGGACCTACAGCTCTGCTACTCTCTCCTGGTATATACCTACGTACTTCTACTTAATTGAAAATAGTTCTCATCTTTGGTTTTAATTATGACTATTATATTTTGAAACGGACCTACAGCTCTGTTATTCTTTCCAGGTATATACTTCTATTCACTTTTATAAATAGTTCTCATAGTTGATTTTAATTATGGTTATTATATTTTGATACGGAGCTACAGCTCTACTACACGCTCCAGTTATATACTTCTACCCATTTCAAAATAGGCCTTATATTTGATTTTAGTTATGACTATCATATTTTGATATGAACAAGAAGCTGTACTACTCGCTCCAGGTGTATAATCTTCTTCATTCAAGAATATTTCTATTCATTAATTTGAATTATGGTTGTTATATTTTGATACGGACCTGCATGTCCTCTGCAGATCCGTTATTTGGCTTTCTTTATGTTCGCTGAACGCTGACAAAGCAATACTTAAATGATATTGCATTCAGCATTTCAGAATTGTTGTCTTCTTTTATTTTAATTATGTTTGTTTAATGTTTATGTGGGATAAAGTTAAGCATATTCAAGGCAACTTTCGCCAGAATAGTTGTCTTCTTTTATTCAAATTAAGCACATTTTATATTTACGTGTGATAAAGTCCAGCATATTCGAGTCAACTTTTGCGAGAAAAATAGCATCCGTAGTTCCATATTTTTATCAGTCATTGCTACCAATTCAATCATTGTTTCAATTCAAGATTTATTAATTCTTACGCTGAATTTTGACAATATAGTTAGTCGTCATCCTATTAAAACATACTGCTGTGATCTTCTAGTTATGGCGTTCGTATATGCTTTACATTTATCACAATTTTAATTATTACGCCTACCTAAAATATTTTTGCCAGTACATCAGATTATATATGGGTTAACATTGTTGTACCGCGGAATTGTCAATTTTTTCCGGTGCTCGTCAAAATTTGTATTGATATTTTTATCGCCACACCCAGAAAAATGTATGGGTCATATTGTGCAAATAGTGACACACTTTTTGCAGGCAGCACTGATACTCCCTTATGCCGGGCCAAACTGGGTCAGAATGACAGACATTAGGGACTAGAAGTGCATCGTTATTTGGACCAAGTCTCGCTAATTTCGCTAATTTCAGTAAACAAAATTTGTTTATTTATTAATTGTTGAAAAAATAGTTTATTTTTCTTCCAGTTCGTTAATTTCAGTAACCAAAAATTGTTTCTTTATTAATTGTTGAAAAAATAGTTTATTCTTCTTCCAGTTCGTTAATTTCAGTAACATGTCTTATCTATTTATTTTTAGTGCATTTACTTTACTAATTGATTTATTTGTGTTTCTAGGACTGAACTTTTTCTGAACAGAATTTTGTGGTTTGAACTGACGATGGAGCTGGACTCCGAAACGTTTTCTCTTATAAAGATATGGTGAATTTTTGTGGTATTTTCTTTGCTTTTAAATTCCTAATTGCTTCATGCCATGTCTTAAATATTTATTCATTGTTTGAATGGTTCTTCGTTTAAGTCAAAAATTGAAACTATATATTTTCTCACTGTTAAAACCTGATTATGGTTAGAGCCTTGGTTTTAATGACCATGAATTAGCATCGACGACGGTTAACCGTAGATAAAAGATTTAAATTTTAACTACTGACTGTAAATCTTGTTAGCGATTAGCAGTTACGACCGTTAATGTAATGTATCCACATTCAAAAGTTTTTTCTTTTGTCTAGTAACTTGCAACTCGTCACCGAGCCTATTGGAGCTAATGGCATCGAAGACTTATATATTTATATTACCTTAATCATCACAAATGATTAATATTTTACATTCTGCTTGCAATTGTTCCTACGTTAACAGTGGGAATTACACTGCAGAACGTAAGATACTTTATTGGAACGATGATACAGAAAGGCGAGACTGCGAACGGTGCATGGAGGTTCACAGTTGAAATAACGATCTTCTTAAATACCTGGTCATCCAGCACACTCATAGAAAAATGTATGGGTCACATTGTCCAAATAGTGACACACTTTCTACACCTATCAATGATTCGTGAGTTTTGTCGGGCTAAACTGTGTCTGGATGACCTATTCAAGGGAAAAAAAACATCGCTATTTAAACGAAGTTATGGTGTTCACTCTAAGGATGAAGTATACACTGCACTTTAATTATGGAACATAATTTACACAGGGTTTTCGTGCATAATTGTGTAACGACATTTGTAACTACATTTTTGCGGAAAATTCGAACATAATTTCCTAAGAACATTTGTAACAACATAAATTCCGCGGGGTTTTCGTTCATAATTTTGTAACAACACAATTTCCGCGGGGTTTTCATACATAATTTTATAACAACTTAGTTTTAGCCGGATTTTCATGCATAATTTTATAACAACTTAATTTTAGCCGCATTTTCGTACATAACAACGTAAGAACATAATTTCCGCGGGTATTCCTACATAAGATTGCAACAACACATTTTAGCCGGATTTTCGTACATAATATTGCAACTACACATTTTAACCGGATTTTCGTACATAACATCGTAACAACATAATTTCCGCGGGGTTTCCGTACATAATTTTGTACCAATCTAATTTTAGCCAGATTTCCGTACATAATTTTATAACATAATTTTAGCCTGATTTTCGCACATAATATTGTAACAACATAATGTTAACTGCATTTTCGTACGTAATTTTCTAACAACATAATTTTAGCCGTATTTTTACACATAATATTGTAACAACCTAATTTACTCGGTCAGGTGTTACAGCGGCCTCAGGATCAGGAGTTGGACTTGTATGCCCAGGGTAAGGACAAGGGGCAGCCTGTGGCACGCGTCACGCTCGAGGCTCTCAGCTCACAGCCTGTCGAGTGCGACGACTCTGCTGACGCCAGAATAATGAAGAACTTCCTGGCTGATAATCCCGGTGAGTTCTGACGTCGCTATAGGATCACCAAGAACTTCCTGGCTGACAATCCCGGTGAGTTGTGACGTCGCTATAGGATCACCGCTCTAGATCGTAGATCGATTTATCTACTGACGGTAAATCAACATTATTACTCACGGTAATAATATTGACGATGGTTAATGTAAAGATATACTAAGTTTTAAGCCTCGCGAGCAAGCATAGAAATATTCATAAATTCAAGTTTATGCAACAAACAAAGAAATTAAAGCATTATTATTTATTAGATATATTTTTTCGCGTACGTATTTCTAAAAATAATGCATATTGGAATAGTAAATCATACATGGATAATTTAATAAATGCGGTCAATACGCAGACATTTTTTTCAAATAATTCAAATTTAAGCTCGCAAATGTAAAGAGTAAAATTCATAAATTCAAGTTAGTTAATTCCATTCAATCAAGTTAGCTTAATTAATTAACTAGATATTGCTACTTCCGTCTTTTAAAAAATGCATACAGAGCATAAATTTGATTGCTGAGTCCAAATGTTTATATGAATGCTCATATTTTAATTTTTGGTCAAGGTAGGCTATGATGCAATGTTCGAAACGATGTCAGACGATTGGAGATTGTTAGAGGCATGATAACTTTGCCTCAAACACAAATATAAAGTTGTAGTGGAGCTTTTTGGGAAGAGATTTTAAATGGCCATGTATGGTAAAGGAGCAGATTTTAAGTGACCATGTATGGTAAGGGAAAAAATTTTAAGTGACCATGTATGGTAAAGGAGTAGATTTTAAGTTACCATGTATGGTAAGGGAGGAAATTTCAAGTGACCATGTATGGTAAGGGAGGAGTTTTTAAATGACCTTGTATGGTAAAGGAGGAGATTTTAAGTGACCATGTATGGTAATGGTAAAGAAGGAGATTTTAAATGACCATGTATGGTAAATAAGGAGATTTTAAATGACCATGTATGGTAAAGGAGATTTTAAGTGACCATGTATGGTAAAGGAGATTATAAGTGACCAGGCATGGTAAAGGAGATTTTAAGTGACCATGTATGGTAAAGGATGAGATTTTAAGTAACCATGTATGGTAAAGAAGGAGATTTTAAGTGACTTGGGCCTATACTTTCAAAAAAAGTTAAGAGATCGTAAGTTCATCAGCCAATCATTGACGGCCTTTCAAGCAAAATCCACCAATCATAATAAGAAAATAGAGCGTAAGTACTTACGTTCACTTAGCGAGTTTTGAAAGTATGGCCTCAGGTATGGTATTTTCCCTCAGAAACCCTGCGCGGTTAAGTGACCATGTATGGTAAAGGAGATTCTAAGTGACCATGTATGGTAAAGAAGGAGATTCTAAGTGACCATGTATGGTAAAGAAGGAGATTACCCCACCGCCAGGGTACAAAAACCCCGTCTAACCCATTGCGTTATTCCAACCTCCCCCCACCGCCAGGGTATAAAAACCCCGTCTAACCCATTGCGTTATCCCAACCTCCCCCCACCGCCAGGGTACAAAAACCCCGTCTAACCCATTGCGTTATTCCAACCTCCCCCCACCGCCAGGGTACAATAATAATCACTTATTTATTGTGTTGTTCAAGTGATTCCACTTGAACAACACAATATTGTTGCCTTATTGTTGGTGTTTGGTAACGGTCACTGTAATTGGCGTCGGCAATTCAATTTAATTGGTGGATTTTTTGAACTTTGTTGGTTTCCTATTGATCTTACATGATATTGATATTTTTGTGTTTTGTATGTCAGAGCGTTGACTGCGTCTACAAGAGGTTGTTTGTATTTAAAAATGATTTTACATGCGTGATTTTGCATTTTGCTATGGTATAAATTAATTATATTCAAAATTTTCAAGCGTTGAAATTTTTACCCTCTCTGAAATGTAAATGAAGAAACTTTCACCAATTTAACGTTCACTTGATCAATTTCAAATCTAAAAAATAGATTTCTCTTCGACCCTTTACAAAAAAAAAAACTATCTCTACCAACACTGCTTGACCTCTGAAAATTTTTGCTTAAATTGAGCTCAGGAAATTTCAGAATAACAAAGATAAATACAGGTTCAAATAAACAAATAATTATAATACTGTATGCCGATCAATGATGACGAATAATTGTACTGTATCTATGCTAACTATACTGTATGCATGCCAATTATGGTAATTATACTGAATGTAGTATGCCACTTATACTGTATGTACCTATGCCAATTATACTGTATGTATGTGTCAAAGGAACTAGTATATAATGTAAGAATTATACTGTATGTATGCGGCAAAGGAACTTAAATAATAATTATACTGTATGTATGTGGCAAAAGAACTTAAATAATAAGTATACTGTACATGTTGCAGCAAAGGAATCTGAAGCAGCGGTTCGTGGCGCTGCTGAAGAAGATCAAAGTTCCTGAGGCTCTGCAGGCCTACGAGACCGACCCTGACCTCGACCCCAGAGCTGGTGAACATATCATGTGTTATATTGAGCTATTAATCTTTATTTTTATTGAGATAATGTATGTTTATTTGGATGAAATCTGCTGAATATATCCTGTGTTATTTATTGAGTTATTAATCCTGATTTTTACTGTGATAGTCATGTAATGTTTACTTGGATGAAATTTGCTGAATATATCCTGTGTTATATTGAGTTATTAATCCTGATTTTTATTGAGATAGCGATGTAATTTTTACATAGTTAGATGAGATCTGGTGAATATATCGTGTTTTATTTTGAGTTAATTATCCTGATTTATTTTAGGTTAATTATCCTGATTCATATTGAGTTAATTATCCTCGTTTACATTAAGTTAATTATCCTTATCTATATTAAGTTAATTATCCTGATTTATATTGAGTTACTCATGGAATTTTTGCTGGTATGATAACTGATGAATGTATTGCAATTCATGTAGAGATTTGATATTTTATTTACTGGCATGAAATATTTGTCATCTAACTATCCTCAATATTTCAAACTACTGCTGATTTTTATTTTCTAATTTTTCAAATAATCTTCACCATTGTGTTATCGATTGTGTTTAAAAAACTCTCAGGCTATAAATAAATATTGGATGATTTTTTTTGAAATTTTCAAGTAATCTGCAGCATTTCATAAGCAAATTGTGTTTTCGGTTGTGTTAGAAAACTCTTAGGCTATAAATAAATATTGAACTATGAACTCAAAAATATTTGGAGTATAATAAAATAAATATTGACCTATTATATTAGAAAAAACTCTTATGCTATAAATAAATTTGTGAACTCTTAGGCTTTGTGAATAAAAATCAATCAAAATAGAAAAATCAAATATTGACCTATGATCTCAGATGTACCCGTTGACCCCGATGACATCGAATATCTGATGAATGAACTCGAGGACCTGAGCGATTCTGGCAACGAAGTGGACACGCTGAGCATCAGCAGCACTCCCAAGCCTTCCCTGCGCCCTTATTTTAGCTCCACCCGCTCCCTGCTGCTCCAGGATCCTGCTATAGGTCAGTCCCAGCCTTCCCTGCGTCCTTACTTCAGCTCCTCGCGCTCCCTGCTGCTCCAGGATCCTGCTATAGGTGAGTCCCAGCCTTCCCTGCGCCCTTACTTCAGCTCCAGCCGCTCCCTGCTGCTCCAGGATCCTGCTATAGGTGAGTCCCAGCCTTCCCTGCGTCCTTACTTCAGCTCCACCCGCTCCCTGCTGCTCCAGGATCCTGCTATAGGTGAGTCCCAGCCTTCCCTGCGTCCTTACTTCAGCTCCACGCGCTCCCTGCTGCTCCAGGATCCTATAGGAGTCCCAGCCATCCCTGCGTCCTTTGCAGGGAAGGATGGATAATGACACACCTCCTATGGATGATATCCTTCTGAAACGTTCAATATTTAATCGCGTAAAAGGTTTTTGGTTTTATTATAGCATAATAACCTTGTGAAGTCTTACGTACGAAGTACATGGTAGAATGTTCCTGGGTTCAAACCCACAACTATGACCAGTTAAAACCAGAGGGATTAGGTACACTAGATTCGATTTAGGTGAATTATCTTGGATATATAAATAAATATTAATTCTATCACATTTAAATGCATCACGTTGGGAGTTATTTCATTGCAATGGACTAGTCTATATTGTACCAGAGAAGCCGATAGCTGTGCGCCAGGGCAATGACTAAAGTATATTAATAAATATTATATTTAAGTATATTAATAATACATCAGGTTCAATTATCCATTTTTAAGATATTTTTAATTAAAGTTTGAATTTATATTTTGCAACAAAGCGTCCGATACTGGAGCACTAAGGCAACGACTAAATCATGTTAATAAATAGTATATTACAGTATATTAATAATAAATCATGTTCAAATATACAACTTTAAGATCATGTTAATTAATAATGTAATTATTATTGTGGAACAGAGCGTCCTATACTGGAGCACCAGGGCAACGAGTAAAGTATATTAAAAAATACCTATTTTAGTAAATTATATAATTAAAGTGTATTAATAATACATCAGGTTCAAGTATGCAGTTTTAAGATGTTCTTAATTATTAATGTAATTGTTACTATGCAACAGAGCGTCCGATATTGGAACACCAGAGCAACGAGTAAATCATATTAATAAATATTATATTAAACTATATTATTAAAGTGTCTTAATAATACATAAGGCTCAAATATATAACTTTAAAATGTTGGTAATTATTGATATAATTGTTACTACGCAACAGAGTGTCCGATACTGGAGCACCAGGGCAACGACTAAATCATGTTAATAAATAGTATATTACAGTATTTGTTAATTGTACATCAGGTTCAAATGTAAAACTTTAAGATCTTATTAATTATTAAGTTAATTATTATTTTGCAAAAGAACGGCCGATAGTATATTAATAATACATCAGGTTTATTTATTAAATTATAGAACTTAAGATCTTGTTAATTATTAATGTAATTGTTATTGTGCAACAGAGCGGCCAATACTGGATCACCAGAGCGAGGAGTAAGGCATATTAATAAATAGTATATTATTACTAATACATCAGGTTTAAACATATAGCTTTAAATGTTGTTAATTATTTATATAATTATTACTACGCAACAGAGCGTCCTATACTGGAGCACCAGGGCGAGGAGTAAGGCATATTAATAAATAGTATATTATTACTAATACATCAGGTTTAAACATATAGCTTTAAGATGTTGTTAATTATTTATATAATTATTACTACGCAACAGAGCGTCCTATCCTGGAGCACGGGAGCGACAGCGATCACCCAGACACGTACACAGACGCTGAGCAGTCCGACCCTCAGGCTGGGGGCGACGTGTTGCTCCATGAGGCGACGTGTTGCTCCAGTGAAGGGGGGGCCTCGTCGCCCCCCACTGCCCACAAGCTGTCCTCTCCTGACAATACTGGTCAGCATAAGTAATATTCGTTTTTATTGGGTTTAATCAAATTAAATATGATTAAACAGAGAATGATTCAGAATACTGGTCAGCATAAGTAATATGCATTTTTATCGTATTTAATCAAATGAAATGTGATTAAAGTTGTCTCCTGACAATACTGGTGAGCATAAGTAATATGCATTTACTTGGGTTTAATCAAATTAAATATGATTAAAATAAATATGATTACATTCGTCTCCTGGGAATAGGTACTGGTGAGGATAGTTAATATACATTTTTTTTTTATTTAATCAAATGAAATATGATTAAAATACATATGATCAAATGAAATGAAATCCGATAAATTTCTCATAAGCCCCTTCATGCGTTACAAGGATGAACTTATTAAGTAGTAAGTGAATAATAAATAATAAAATACAGTAATACACAGTATTTTATTTCAAGTTAACAATAGTTAACTTGAAAATTTATTTCAAGTTAACAATTTCAAGTTGCACTCCTAAAACGTACTCTTGTAATCGACTCATAATCATTGTTCTCAAATTTACAAGATTAAAACCCGTTGTTATTTACTTTACATTGTTAATTATGTTGCACCGTTCTTGCAATAATGTAATGTTCAACAATCATCTACTTAATAATGATAATCGGGGTTTTTTATTATTTATAATCAAATTCTATTAAATAAAGCACAGGTTTTGTATCCTGATATCTTTGTTCATTTCAGGTAAATAATGATAGTTATACGTTTGTTTTCTTTATAATCAAATTATATTAAATAGAGCACAGGTTTTGTATCCTGATATCTTTGTTCATTTCAGGTTAATAATGATAATTATACGTTTGTTTTCTTTATAATCAAATTATATTAAATAAAGCACGTATATTGTATCCTGATATCTTTGTTCATTTCAGGTTAATAATGATAATTATACGTTTGTTTTCTTTAGAATCAAATTATATTAAATAAAGCACATATAATGTATCCTGATATCTTTGTTCATTTCAGGTAACAGTAACGGCAGCGGAGCTAAAAACAACGTCAGCGACAAGAGCGTTGCTGACAAGCCTGCTGACAAAACATTCAATAAATCCAGTCACAAAAGCAGGTTAGTGATACCATTTATATATCCTATACATAATATCATTCGTACGTATATCCTATATATCATTCATATTTCACAAATCCAGTCACAAAAGCAGGTTAGTGACACAATTCATATCTCCTACATATAATGATATAGGATATATCGTATGAATGATACCATTTATATCATTCATATGATATAGGACACATCATATAGATGATATATCCTATATCATTCACATAAAAATATTTTAAATAAAATGATAAGTTATTAATAAAATTTAATTAACGGTATCACATTAATAAAACCTAATATTAAATAATATTTTTGTCTCCAATTGACCTCGTATAAAAGAACAATCCTACCATCCTCTTCTAATATCCTTCTTATAAGTGTGGGATGCTCGAATTTCCATTATGCGCGTATTTATTCTATGTCAAAATATCTTTTAATTGAATCACAAATAAATTGGATCACTGTTTCTTATTTTCATATAGGTAGTCTATAGCTGTTATATTATCAATGTATATATTGTGGATTAATGCTATGCACAAAACGGATTTCAATAATGTGATACTATAAATTTAATTTTATAATAGTACTAATAATATATTTATTATTACTATCAATTTGATTTTGATAATAAATGCACAAAGCGGATTTTATTGATGTGATACTATAAATGTAATTTTATAATATAATTTTTAATATTATATTATATATTTATATTAATATTATATTTTAATATTTAATAATATAATTTAACTATAAATATAATTTTGATAATAAATGCACAAAGGATTTCATTAATGTGATACTATACATATAATTGTGATAATAATTAGCACTAATAATATAATTATTAGTACTATAAATCTAATTATGATAATAAATGAACATAGATTTTTATTAATGTCATACTATAAATAAAATTCCGATAATTAATGTACATAGGATTTTATTAATGTCATACTATAAATATAATTTTGATAATAAATGCACCTAATGGATTTTATTAATATGATACTATAAATATACAGTTTATAATAAACGCTCATAGGATTTTATTAATGTGATACTATAAATATAATTTTGATAACATATATTAATGTTGTATATTGACACAGCAAGAGCGTGGGGGGCGCAGCAGGGACGGTGTTCGCGAGCGTCGTGTCGTCCGCAGGCGTCGGCAAGTCGGACAAACGCAGCGCAGCGGCCGCGTCATCCGCGTCCGCGGTGACCACCTCCTCACATCGACAGGACGCGGGGCTTGGCCAAGAGCCTTTGGTGAGTCAAGAGCCTTTGCTAATATTATTATAACAAACGGAGTCAGGAGCCTGATGAGTCAAGAGCCTTTGATGAGTCTAGAGTCTTGTCAAGAGCCTTTGGTGAGTCGAGAGTCGTTGGTGAGTCAAGAGCCTTTGCTGAGTCGAGAGTCGTTTGTGAGTCGAGAGCCTTTGCTGAGTCGAGAGCCTTTGCTGAGTCGAGAGTCGTTGGTGAGTCAAGAGCCTTTGCTGAGTCAAGAGTCTTTGGTGAGTCAGAGCCTTTGGTGAGTCAACAGCCTTTGGTGAGTCAAGAGTCTTTGGTGAGTCAAGAGCCTTTGCTGAGTCGAGAGCCTTTGGTGAGTCAAGAGCCTTTGGTGAGTCAAGAGCCTTGTCTAGAGCCTTTGGTGAGTCAAGAGCCTTGTCAAGAGCCTTCGGTGAGTCAAGAGCTTTTGGTGAGTCAAGAGCCTTTGGTGAGTCAGGAGTCTTGTCAAGAGCCTTCGGTGAGTCAAGAGCTTTCGGTGAGTCAAGAGCCTTTAGTGAGTCAAGAGTCTTGTCAAGAGCCTTCGGTGAGTCAAGAGTCTTGTCAAGAGCCTTCGGTGAGTCAAGAGTCTTGTCAAGAGCCTTCGGTGAGTCAAGAGTCTTGTCAAGAGCCTTTGGTGAGTCAAGAGCCTTTGGTGAATCAAGGGCCTTTGGTGAATCAAGAGCCTTTGGTGAGTCAAGAGCCTTTGGTGAGTCAAGAGCCTTTGGTGAGTCAAGAGCCTTTGGTGCGTCAAGAACCTTTGGTGAGTTAAGAAGAGCCTTTTGTGAGTCAAGAGCCTTTGGTGAGTCAAGAGCCTTTGGTGAGTCAAAAGCCTTGTCAGGAGCTTTTGGTGAGTCAAGAGCCTTTGCTAATATAATATTATAACAAACAGAGTCAGGAGCTTGATGAGTCAAGAGCCTTTGGTGGGACAAGAGCCTTTGGTGAGTCAAGAGTCTTTGGTGAGTCAAAAGCCTTTGGTGAGTCAAGAGCCTTTGGTGAGTCAGGGGCCTTTGGTCAGTCAAATATAAAAATTAAATTAGCAAGATCACTTGATTGCTTAAATGGCAAATGTACCAAACAACCAAAAAACTAAAGAAAATGGCCAGAAAATAAAGTTTAAATAGCCCAAAAAATTAATTGATTTCACAATTGCGGAGCTGTACTCCGAAACGTTTTTTATTATAAGGACGAGTGAATTTTTTAGCTATTTTCTTTGCTTTTAAATTCTTTTATTAATTATCGATAATTGAGATGGATGCTACCACATTCCGTCCGATTAAATATTTGTAATTACCACGATTAGATTAGATACCTTTACCATCAAGTGCCCCAGCTTGCCCCTCGGAGTTCGACTGAACATGAACGTCACACAATTTCTACATAGAATAATTAATAATATAATGATAATAATAACAAGAACGTCTCATTACGTCATCATGCTCCCAAGTCTGTCCCTTGACGTTCGCCTGAACCAGAACTTTCTGTATTAATTAATTGCTTCATAGAATAATTAATAATAAAATAATAATGCAGTAATAAGAAGAAGGTCTCACCACATGGTCAGGTTGCCAAGTCTGTCCCTTGAAGTTCGCCTGACCTAGAACGCTTCGTATTAATTATTTGCTTCGTAAAATAATTAATAATAATAATGCAATGATAATAGTAAGAATGTCTCATCACATGATCAGGTAGGGAAGTGTTCCCCAAGCACGGTGGGGCCAGGCGGGCAGACAGCGCGCAAGGGGCTTCAGGAACTGCTGGCTACACTCCTCCCCCCCGACGACTGCAAGCTTCCCCCCGCCCTCATCCTCATTGATGCCTCCCCTGAAGGTGGGGAATGTTACTTGATATTGTGTTAATATGAAGGTATCTGAAGGTTTAATTAATATAAAGTGATTTGAAGATTTAAATAATATAAAGTGATCTGAAGGTTTAATTAATATAAAGTGATTTGAAGGTGCACCGTTTTAAATAATACATAATATTGCTGCCTAGCATAATATTGCTGCCGTGCATAATATTGCTGCCTAGCATAGTATTGCTGCCTAGCATAATATTGCTGCCAAGCATAATATTGCTGCCTAGCATAATATTGCTGCCAAGCATAATATTGCTGCCTAGCATAATATTGCTGCCTAGCATAATATTGCTGCCGTGCATAATATTGAAGGTGAGGAATGTTACTTTCTATTGCATTAATATGAAGGAATCTGAAGGCGCCCAAATATTATATAAAGCAGGCTTGATTAAAGACAAAGAATTTGTTATATTGTAGATTTTCCATTCATTATTTCGGTATATGAAACAATATTTGTGGTTGACGTTGGTAAATGGAAAATCAGCGTACCGAATGAAATATTACATTGTATTGCTTGAAAATGAATATATTTAATGATCTTGCACGAAGGTTCACAAAGAATTAATTTTGATCGAAAATAATGCATAGCGAAGAATTTCCGATCTTAATTAATCCCGAATAAATTCATGCAGATCGGAAAAATAACACAAATGGATAAGCTTACCTGAAGGATATTTAAGTAGACGCTAGAACTCTCCACATAGATTTAGATAGTTTAGAACTCTCCACATATATTTAGATAGTTTAGAACTCTCCACATAGATTTATATAGTTTAGAACTCTCCACATGGATTTATATAGTTTAGAACTCTCCTCCACATGGATTTATATAGTTTAGAACTCTCCACATGGATTCATATAGTTATCAGATTATCGCTATATTATTGGTGCATTAAAAATTTAAAAATTCTTTACGCTGGTGAGAATTATAGTTTCTTTGTTGACTAAATGTGGCTGATATTATAGATAATGCTCCAGAAGTAATGTTAGCCGAATTATAGAATTTAATTAATATCGCTGCAGGAATGTTTGCTGCGTTAAAATACTTAGTAAATAATGTTTCACGAATAATGTTGTTGAATTATAATGTTAGTTGACCAATGTTGCTGGAATAATGTTTGTTTTAATTGAGTTATAGCGTTAGTTGACTAATGCTGCAGTGTTAATGTATCGTGCATTATAAAATTCGATGAACAATGCAGGTGTATTGTTCGTTGATTCATGATGAATAATGCTCCAGGAGTAATATATGATAGATTATATTATAATGTTAGTTGACTAATGCAGTAGTATTGTTAGTTATAATAATATTATAACATATGTTAAGTAACTGCACAGGAAGCGAGATACTCCGGAGCTCCAGGAGTAACGCTGCATGATTAATCTTTCTTGCATGATATTTAATGAACAACGCCGTATGAGTATTGTATCTTGATTTATGATGAATAATGCTCCAGGAGTAATATTTGTTAGATTATGCATAATGTTGTTGACTAGTTGACTACTAATAATGCTAAGTTGACTACTAATGCAACAGTAGTAATGTTTATTATACTAATGTTATAATAATTGATAACTAACGGTACAGGAAGGTAGGTAGATACTCCAGAGCTTCAAAAGTAATATTTGTTAGATTATATTATAATGTTAGTTAATGCTGCAATAGCAATATTCATTATAATAATATTATAATATTTGATAACTAACGTACAGGAAGCGAGAGATTCCAAAGCTTCAGGACTAATATTTGTTAAATTATATTTTAATGCTAGTTGACTAATGCAGTAGTTTTGTTATAATATTTGATAACTAACGTACAGGAAGCGAGATACCTAGGTACTCCAGAGCTTCAGGAATAATATTTGTTGAATCATAATGAACAATGTTTCAGGAGTAATATTTATTAGATTATATTATAATGTTAGTTGACTAATGCTGCAGTAGTAATGTTAGTTATAATATAATAATATTATAACATATATTAACGACCGATACAGGAAGCGAGAGCAGCAACAGCGGGCACCAGAGTCTAGCAGCAGTTATAAGATTATGTTATAATGTTAGTTGACTAATGCTGCTGTAGTAATGTTAGTTACAATAATATTATATTATAATATTAACTACCTGTACAGGAAGTGAGAGCAGCAACAGCGGACACCAGAGTCTGGCAGCAGTTATAAGATTATGTTATAATGTTAGTTGACTAATGCAGCAGTAGTAATGTTAGTTACAATAATATTATATTATATATTAACTACCTGTACAGGAAGTGAGAGCAGCAACAGCGGACACCAGAGTCTGGCAGCAGTTATAAGATTATATTATAATGTTAGTTGACTAATGCTGCTGTAGTAATGTTAGTTACAATAATATTATATTATAATATCAGCTACCTGTACAGGAAGTGAGAGCAGCAACAGCGGTCACCAGAGTCTGGCAGCAGTTATAAGATTATATTATAATGTTAGTTGACTAATGCAGCAGTAGTAATGTTAGTTATAATAATATTATATTATATATTAACTACCTGTACAGGAAGCGAGAGCAGCAACAGCGGGCACCAGAGTCTGGCAGCAGTTATAAGATTATATTATAATGTTAGTTGACTAATGCAAATGCTGCTGTAGTAATGTTAGTTATAATAATATTATATTATATGTTAACTACCTGTACAGGAAGCGAGAGCAGCAACAGCGGGCACCAGAGTCTAGCAGCAGCGCTGAGCGGTGCAGGGCTGTCTGTGGTCACCACCACCTCCGCTGCTGATGTCAGGGCCACCGTCCAGCATATCATTAACAAACTCCAGAAATTGTTAGTATATTTGTGATGATATTGCTAGTTCAGCTTAATAATTGTTAATTTTATAATTAGCAATTTAACAATTCCAGAATTGTCAATTCAATAATTGTCAATTTAAACATCAATTCAATAATTCTCAATTTAAGAATCATAAATTCAAGAATTGTCTATTCAAGAATTATCTATTCAAAAACTTTCTATTTAAGAATTGTCAATTCAATAATTTTCCCATCAAGAATTTTCAATTCAAGAGTTGTCAATATTATAATTGTCAATTTAATAATTGCAACTTCAAGATTTTTTGCTTAATTGACAATTAGAAGCAAAGAAAACGCCTTGTAAATCATCTTTTTCGAAAAAACGTTTAAATGGAGTTAGTCGCCAAAACATGTTTGACTAAGATACGATGATGACTAAAAGAAAAAAAAAACAATGATGTTATTTAATTTCAATGAGAATCTTGAAAAGCCTTGAATCCTATAAATGGCGCATGGGAACGTTTTTGATCATTCCTCAAGTAATGAAGGTCTAACTTATTTTAATTGATGTACAATAGCGGAATTTAATCGGTATAGATTTAATTGTTGCTAAGCTGCGTATTTCTTTCTATGTTAGCTCAGCTGTATTTATTCATATCATTGCTTCTGTTATATAAATTCTAATTTTAATGATATTTTGAATATTAGTACAGCTATTTTCACACTTTGCTATAACTTCGATGATGTAAATTTCCATTTTCTTTACGCGATAAATTCGATAATGTCAGCTCTTATTTTCTCTCTACGCGATTGTTTCTATTTAATTTAATTTAAATTTTTAATCTATATTTTGATTGATATTTTGTGCAGTTGCTACGCGATAACTTTGATAATGTCAGCTCTTATTTTCTCTATGCGATAATTTCTATTCAACTTAATTATAATTTGTAATCTATATTTTAATTGATATTTCGTGCAATTTCTATTTAATTTAATTTAATTTGTAACCTAGATTTTAATTGATATTTTGTGCAGTTGCAACAGCAACGCTAAGGCGCCAGGTCCGATGAAGGTGGTGATGGTTGGGTCTGACCCTTACATTAACAGCGTCCTCAGGCCTTACGTGACGGACTTCTCCCTCAGACCTCCGGACTTCCTCAACCACATCCGCTTCCTTATTGTGCCCTTAGGTAAGTCGGGACTTTGCCCTCGCAAAAAATTATTAGTATCATTTGAATGAATTATTTTCAGTAATTAGTCATTCATTAATTTCATTAAATTTCGTCGATTAATCATTAATGAATGTCATGAATTAATGGTCCCAGGCGGCGTGTCTAGCCTAGCCAAGTACGGTATATTTATTTTGTTCATTATTATACCTATATACTTATCATTTGAATGAATTATTCTCATTAATTAATGACAAACTAATGGTACCAGGCGGCGTGTCTAGCCTGGCCAAGTACGGTATATTTATTTTGTTCATTATTATACCTATATACGTATCATTTGAATGAATTATTCTCATTAATTAATGACAAACTAATGGTCCCAGGCGGCGTGTCTAGCCTGGCCAAGTATATTTATTGTATTGTATATTATTCCTACCATTAGAATATTCTCATTCATTAATAATAATAATAAAGTAATTAATTTCATTAATTATTCATTAATTAATGACAAACTAATGGTCCCAGGCGGCGTGTCTAGCCTCGCCAAGTACCTGGGCAGCGTAGACAGCCGCTACGGCGCGAGCTTCGTGTCCGAGTGCTGGCGTGAGGCCCGGGACCGCTGGGAGCCTCAGGACGTGACCGAGGCCGTCAATAGGATTAATCGTTACCTCACTCATGCCCTCAGCACCTTACATCTCCCCATCGCTGAGGCCATGCTCACCTACAAGGATAAAGGGTGAGTAATTATTACCTAGTACTCACTATCTAGTAATGCGTACCTATAAGTACTCATTATCTAGTAATCATTACCTCATAGTCATCACCTCGTACTCATCACCTCGTAATCATTACTACCTTACTACTGACACCCTCGGCACCCTGTACCTCCTTGGCATTTAAATCACATGACTTGATGTTGATTTCCATCCTGATCTATCTAAATTATTTATGACTGATGTTTTGATGTACATTATACGACGAAGGGATGCGTTCGATCCTAAACCCTGTAGCGGGAATGCCGCGTATGTAGTAGTATTAAAAATCATCTCTTTAGTGTGTATAGTTAAGCGTTAATTGCTGCAGCTTGTATCTATTTTTGAAAGCTCAAAAGGTTTCAGCTTCTATCTATTGTTGAATGCAAAGATCTATTCGATTTGAAATTAAAAAGCAAAGATCTATTCTATTTAAGAACCTCGGACAATTCATTTCTGTACTAGATAATCTACAATCTTGCTGATTTTCTTTGTGGGGCGCAATCAGGCGTCTTTTCAGTATTCAACGATTTCCGTCGCCATCTAGCCAGTAAAGTCTGATGTTTGTAACTCCGTCAGCCAATCACTGACGGCTATCCAAGTTAAATCCACCAATTACAGACGATAAATCGGCCGCTAATTGTACTTAAGTCGCTACGTGTACTTAGATCGCTACGTGTACTTAGCCCAACACCTGCACTATAGGGCCGCTACGAGTATACTAAGGCCGCTATACGTGTAATCCCGCTACGTGTACTTAGGCCGTTATGTTTACTCCTACTGCTGTTATACATATATTAAGGCCGCTACGTGTTCTTGCTTGAGTTTCAAAATTTCGCCCCCAGGGCCTATACTTTCGAAACTCGCTAAGTGAACGTACTTAGCTTTATTTTCTTGTCTATGATTGGTGGATTTTGCTTGAAAGGCCGTCAATGATTGGCTGATGAACTTACGATCTCTTAACTGTTTTTAAAAGAGTGGCTTGAAAGGCCGTCAATGATTGGCTGATGAACTTACGATCTCTTAACTTTTTTGAAATTATACGCTCCTGTGCTCACCAAGATTTATTTCACCTCGTTGGATACGTTTGCTCGAAAGGGTTTTTCGTGCAGTGATATTTATGAACATTCATCGATAATTTTATAAATTTGCCGTGTTTCATTTAGGATTGAAAACATAGCAGAGCGTTACAAGCGGCTCTGAATCATGAACTTCTCCATCTCAGGAACGACAACGAGTCTTCACAAACGTTCATCCCGTTCTTGACTGACGTACGTCTGGGCTCTGGAGACGTAACTTCCACCTCTATTGATCTCGATGACGTTCCTGTCATGCCTTCTTCCACTGTCTCTTCCACCGCAACCTCGTCCCAGCCATCCAGCTCCACCAATTTGGTGAACTTGGCTTCCACCCCACCGTCCCTGACCGCAGGATTTGGGGGCAGCGGAAATCCTGCAGGATTTAACTCCGCATCCGCCGCGGCAACTTCCGCAAATTCGTCTGGAGGTGAAGCATATTTTTACATAACTGCTATATGAAATATGGTTTTCAGATTACTGCTATACGAAATATAGTCTTTACATAGGTAAAGCATAGTATTCAGATAACTGCTATATGAAATATAGTTTTCAGATTTTTTCTGCATAATATATAGTTTTTAGATCACTGCTATATGAAATATAGTTTTCAGATTACTGCTATATGAAATATAGTTTTCAGATAAATGCTATGTGGAATATAGTTTTCAGATAACTGCTATATGAAATATAGTCTTTACATAGGTAAAACATAGTATTCAGATAACTGCTATACGAAATATAGTTTTCATATAACTGCTATATGAAACATAGTTTTCAGATAACTGCTAAATGGAATATAGTTTTCAGATAACTGCTATGTGGAATATAGTTTTTAAATAACTACTATGTGAAATATAGTTTTCAGATTACTGCTATATGAAATATAGTATTCAGATAACTGTCACATGAAATATAGTTTTCAGATAAATGCTATATAATATATAGTTTTCAGATAACTGCTATGTGAACGATAGTTTTTACACAACTGCTATATGAAATATAGTTTTAAAATAACTGCTATAGGAAATATAGTTTTCAGATAAATGCTATAGGAAATATAATTTTCAGATAAAATCCTATGCATGCGAAATATTGTTTTCAGATACGTAACTACTATATGAAACGTAGTCTTCAGATAACTGCTAGCCATTATAGCTATTAAAAAATATTTAGGCTCTTCTGCCGAATTTTCGATTAAAATCCCTTAATACGGATTTCGTACAACTGAGAGAAGTATTGCAGAGGAATTTTATTTTTGAACTGATTAGTTTCAACTACTTGAGAGCATAATTTCTATATTATCAGTAAATTCCTTCCTTCATATTAAACTTCTCGAGATCGTCAAGTTCAAAATAGACAATGAAACTGTACAATTATTGTTTATTATTTGCATAGATTTAAATTGTCAGGTATTATATTATAAGGTATTGTATTATTAGGTATTATGTTTTTAAAACCGCGTTACCAGATAGAACGTCAAACGGGCCAATATAAGCGTCAGAAGATGCTCGTGAGCGGCCTTGAAAAATACTCTTATTATTAGTATTATTATTAGTATTATACGATCTCGATAAAATTATTAGTACCTATTCTACTATCGCAGTCGCTGAATATTATTAGTATCCTGTTGTCTCTGTAAAAATAGTAGTATTCTACGATCACAGCCGCTCAATATTATTAGTATTCTTTGGTTCCCGTAAAATTATTAGCATTCTACTATCTCGGCCGCTAAAAATTGTCGGTATTATGTTTGTAGCAAATATCCTCAACCCCATACAGGTGGGAGTGCGTTGGTAGGGAGCACAGGCAGTTCCCCAGGCATGGGGAGCGTCTTATCTTCATCCCAAGGCATCCCCATACATGGGGCAGACAAGACTAGTCGAGAGAACACCGTCACTCCCCCCAGCTCCCCCAATATCAACACTTTCCACCTCCCTTCGTAAGCCTATTTACTTATATAACATATTATTTTATCATGAGAATTGTTAATTTTACCAAAGAATTTTTATATTAGGAAGAAAATTTGTATTTTATGAAGAGAATTTTTATTTTAACAACAAAATTTTATTTTATCTACAAAATTTTTATTTTAACAACGGAATTTTTATTTTATCAATTAAGCTTATATTTTATCATGAGAATTTTTAATTTGACAACAGAATTTTATTTTATCAAGAAAATTCTTATTTTAAAAATATAATTTTTATTTATGAAGGAAATTTGTATTTTATCAATAAATTCTCATTTTAACTACGGAATTTTTATTTTCTGAATAAAATTGTTATTTTATCAATTACACTGGTATTTTGTTTTCAGTACGCGCACAATGTCGGAGAGCGAGGCGCTGGAGCTACAGATCGAGACTACAGCACTCGCACGATGTCCGAGAGGCAGACGCTGGACTTTATTCATTATAAATGCCCTCTACTATCAATTTTATTAATATTGTTAACAATATAATTGATTTAATGATAATTATTTATATTACAGCACGCGCACAATGTCAGAGAGCGAGGCGCTGGAGCTACAGATCGACTACTGGCTGCTAATATATAGCATAATTACTTTAATGATAATTATTTATATTACAGCACACGCACAATGTCAGAGAGCGAGGCCCTGGAGCTACAGATCGACTACTGGCTGCTAATATATAGCATAATTACTTTAATGATAATTATTTATATTACAGCACACGCACAATGNTGTCACTGGTGGGGACTTGCTTTGTGTTGTTATCTAAGTAAACTAGCACCAAGTCCACTCCTTTGCTTTGTGCTGTTATTTTAGTAAACTTTCTCTAATATGGACTTGTCAAGTTATATATATTTTTACTTTTTTTCTCTAAGCAAACTAGTTCTCGCCATTACCCTGTCATATATTTTTGCCGTTAGCTTGTGTGTTTAAGGCGTCACTAATGCAGATTTGAGTTTTGGTTTTCAGCTCAAAATTTTTCCTTCCATACTCTTGTACGTAAATCGACAAAATGCCCCATACTAGCCCAGTCCAATCATTTTTAGTGCATTTTCTCATTTATGAAAAAAATGCACTATTGTGCTCGCCATGTCCAGATGTGTATAAGAGACTCCTCCAGAGACGCGCCCGTCTCAGGGCTCACCTTCTCCTACGCCACCAAGGAAAATAAGAAGCGAAGTGCGCTACTTTACTTCTATTTTAATTAATTATAATCATTAATTTAATTAATTATAATTAATTATAATCACTTTCTCCTACGCCACCAAGGAAAATAAAAAGCGAAGTGCGCTACTTGACTGTTATTTTAATTAATTATAATCATTAATTTAATTAATTATAATTAATTATAATCACTTTCTCCTACGCCACCAAGGAAAATAAGAAGCGAAGTGCGCTACTTTACTGTTACTTTAATATTAAAATTCATATTAAATCTTTGATATGGACATAATAAGGACATATTCAATATTGATAAGATTATAATAATAATTCATAATAAATCTTTGATAAGTACATAATGACATATTAAATATTAATAAGATTATAATAATAATTTATATTAAATCTTTGATATGAACATAATAAGGACATATTAAATATTAATAAGATTATAATAATAATTCATATTAAATCTTTGATACGGACATAATGGTGAGATATAAGGAATTAATAATTTATTTAATTTAACGCTTTGCTATAATTTTTGAAGCAATAAATGCCAGTATGAAACTCGTGTTAACCTGATTGGTTTAATCCTTTCGCGGGCCATTTCTTAGAAGTTACAATGATTGGTAACTTCAAATCTCGGAAAATACCCATATGGTTTATGTTATCATGCCTTTGTTAATTGCCAATCATCTGACCATTCATCCATGCGTAGCATCATCTCCTACAAATAAAAAATAAAGTAAAAGATGATTAAAGTGAAGTTAATCTTGATCACTTAACCATTATTCTTGAAGCGATAGATGCAAGGATGATATTGAAGTTAATGTGGGGGGGCTTAACTAACTAAAATTTAAGTGACGTAACTAACTTTATTAACTTATATAACTAAATTATTAATACGTCAATAATTAATTGATATAATGTACCGTCAATTAATAACTTAACTAAAATAGAATTAACTGATTTTTTATTTGCAGTCATGCGTCTGGGCAAGAAGAAAGAGCGGGAGCGCGAGAGCGAGAGTCGGCGCGATGTTGTGGACGGTGTTACGCGCGTCCTGGCGAGCACCAAGTCCACTCCTGTCACTGGTGGGGACTTGCTTTGTCTTGTTATCTAAGTAAACTAGCACCAAGTCCACTCCCGTCACTGGTGGGGACTTGCTTTGTCTTGTTATCTAAGTAAACTAGCACCAAGTCCACTCCTGTCACTGGTGGGGACTTGCTTTGTCTTGTTATCTGAGTAAACTAGCACCAAGTCCACTCCCGTCACTGGTGGGGACTTGCTTTGTCTTGTTATCTAAGTAAACTAGCACCAAGTCCACTCCTGTCACTGGTGGNGTCACGATTGACCACAAGTTCTCTTTTCAGTCACGATTGACCAAGTTCTCATATCAATCACGATTGACCAAGTTCTCTTTTTAGTCACGATTAACCAAGTTCTCTTTTCAGTCACGATTAACCAAAAGTTCTCTTTTCTGTACGAATGACCAAAATCTCTTTTCAGTCTCTATTGACCCCAAGTTCTCTTTTCAGTCACGATTGACCAAGTTCTCTTTTCAGTAACGAGTGACCAAGTTTTCTTTTCAGTCACGATTGACCCCAAGTTCTCTTTTCAGTCACGATTGACCACAAGTTCTCTTTTCAGTCACGATTGACCAAGTTTTCTTTTCAGTCACGATTGATCCCAAGTTCTCTTTTCAGTCACGATTAACCAAAAGTTCTCTTTTCAGTCACGATTAACCAAGTTCTCTTTTCAGTCACTATTGACCAAATTCTCTTTTCAGTCACGATTGACACAAAGTTCTCTTTTCAGTCACGATTAACCAAATTCTCTTTTCAGTCACTATTGACCAAATTCTCTTTTCAGTCACGATTAACCCCAAGTTCTCTTTTCAGTCACGATTGACCAAGTTCTCTTTTCAGTCAAGATTGACCAAGTTCTCTTTTCAGTCACGATTGACCAAGTTCTCTTTTCAGTCACGATTGACTCCGTGGAGTGGCCGAACGTCAAGTTCTTCCAATTGTCTTCCCAGTGGCAGACTCAAGTCAAGACTTTCCCTGTCTGCCTCTTCAATCTCCAGTCGTCTAATTTTGGCGGCGATAAAATTTAAGCCATTAAAGCTGGTCTTGGTCCAATATTTCCCTATTTTTTATCCAATTTATCCCTATTTTTTATCCAATATTTCCTTCAGACTTAAGTGTGAAGCGGTCGTCCTCTTAATATGTGTTAATATGTGTTAATATTTCCACCTGAATGGTCGATTTGCTTGGGTAAATAAAATTAAATCGGAAATAAGGTCCAATTCCTTCGAGTATCTTAGAATAACCAATTCTTCGCTAAAATTTCAAGCCTAGGCAACGTTGGTTTAAGGTCATTTAAAAGTTGAAATTTTGTTTTTGATCGTTACTATCTGGATTTCGTTTACTTTCTAATCGAGGTTCTGTTTATGATCTCTGGTTTCGTTAAAAATTTTTAGTTTTACGATTTGCAAAAATTTTGCGGAAAAATGGGTCCAGGCTTTGCTGTACGTGTAGTTCTCAACAGTAGCAACCTTTATATGAGCTACGACGGCAACGTCAAAAGTAATCACGTTATTATAAAAATTGGATGAATGAATTTCTGAAAACTTCATATACAAATAAAGATTAGATCGTAAGATGTAAATTATGCACTAAGTTACGGGATTGTACTCACAAATGCCCCAGAAAATTGTTATCAAGAAAGAAACGTGGTAATTAAAATCTATTGTTGAGTACCAGCGCTTGTGTAAAAAATATCAACACGTTTAATTTTTTGCAAATATGGCAATTATTTTCAATGATGGACATTGATACTGTGCATCATCAGCCACATGAATTATATGAGATTTTGCAAAAACCGACACCATAGTTTGCGTATATAAAGTCTTGAGCGCAGTATGAAAAAAAGGCTCGCATTTGAGGTTTATTGCTGAGGTCCGTTACCTATTAAATTTATTGTCTATGGGTTTCAGGTATGCCACTATGCTGGTCAGCATATTTATTTAATTCCCGTCTTCGTGAAAAAATTTGCAAATGTGCTTCATAGAGCGCTATGCCTAAGAACAATATCAACTATGTTTAATTCGTTTGTTCTTTCACATTAGGCAAGCATGATCTCTTTCACTCTCGGAAAAAGCGTTCTTGTCATCGTATTGCTCGGAAATGCTTCAAAGTGAGTTTGGATGCAATGTTCTAATAAATTTTTAATTTGGCTTCGTTTTGATACGAATTATTGCAAACGTGAACATCGTACCTTCATATATGGCGTGGTCTGAATTCCAATTGACTTTTATATTATTAAATTTTTTGGAAAGCTTATACGTGAAATCTGGTAACGTGTTGCGTAAATCACGCATTATGATCTAATCGTTATTTGAGTGAACTTTTTGCTACAAGTTTAATAAATAAGTTCTAAGTAAAAATGAAAATAATGTCGACGTTGTTCCCGTTAATTATATTGTGGCCGCTGTTTATCTTGCTGTTAATAAATACATAGCTAGAACTGATAGTTTGCCTTGTCTTCGAACTATCAATCTTCTATGAGTCTTAACGGTTCAGGGCCTATACTTTCAAAAAAAAAAAGTTAAGAGATCGTAAGTTCATCAGCCAATCATTGACGGCCTTTCAAGCATAATCCACCAATCATGGACAAGAAAATAGAACATAAGTACTTACGTTCACTTAACGAATTTTGAAAGTATAGCCCCAGTTCACTAGTGACGTGATGTTGTACAACGACCTCGTTCTTAAGCTAAACTTTGTGTGGATGTCTTAGATTTAAATTGAGTTTGTGTCGACATTATTGCCTCTAGTTACATTTCGTCACTCAAATTAATTATGCTAAACTTTGTATGGATGTCTTAGATTTAAATTGAGTTTGTGTCGACATTATGGCCACTTGTACATTTCGTCACTCAAGTTAAGAGTGATTTATTTCATATTAATGATACTCCAAGAACAATAAAGAACTAAAAATCTTCGTGCATATGATCACGTGTCCATGGCCGTGCTTTATTGTCGTACGTCTTCGTTGTTTGTGTATTGTGACTAAGTTTTACTTGCTGTTGGTGTGTGTGAGTAATCCTGTCTATAGTTTGCTTGTATGCAAAAATTTCACTTACGTTCCTTTGTCGTTTATTTTCTTTTATGGACGAAAGGACGAAACGCGATTCATTTAGTGAATGCAAGTTTATTCCCTTTGTTCAGTTACCGTTCATTGTTGCTTCTAAAACTTATTTATTTTAGCCACGAAGTCAAAACATTGGTTGACCCACGCAACATGAAACGTTTTCCTAATATCCCTCGACTTGTGTTAGGAATGTCGAGAAATGTGATATATACGTTCCAGTCCCATTACTTATTGAATCTTTCTAGTGCTAACGATATTTTTCAAATACAAGGATATTTATTATCGCTATAATTCAATGCGTGCTCACGCTGACTTCAAAGTCTGAGCTATTGAAGATGTCACTTGTCGAAGTCGGTAAATTGAAAATCTATCGGCATGAACGAGTTTTAGGCCTTCATGTTTCTTCCGAATTTCATTTGTAGCCTAAATTGTTAACTTGGCGCTTTGGTTTCTTCCCTTTTACTCATCAAGATCGCCTTAAGTTGTGACAAGTGACCTCGAAACGATCCAAGTATAATTTTAAAACTGTAATCATCGCTACAATTTTTTATTTAACACATATTACTTCTCTTGTCCCATCTGTCAGCACGCGTAATCGTAATATTTATTTACAAAATGATTGGTTAATCCATTGACATTTCTTACGTCAATTTCGTAAGCAAAGTAATTAGATCGTCTAAGCTCCTTGTCATTTGTTTACTACACTGTTTCACTTATCCTAATATTTTGAGTCCATTTCTTATTGCGTTTTGTATTAGTTATTTCGTGCTAACTTTGCACACCTTTGTATTGTAATTGTTTTTATTTAGTTAGTCGAATATCCATGATACTTCGTTTCGACGTCCCATGTTTAGTTAGCATTCCTCAACGCGCATGATTATCGTATCTTTGAAGTTTTCCAATACTGTTTTCCATGTGCCGTGCATTTCTCGCAATTATGTGCTTGTGACTTGTGTGTTCGATGTTGCGTGCAAAAGTTTCACAATAAGCGTGCGTACTGCAGTCTCAGCGCTCAAATTATGCTCATTTGCCTTGAACGGCGCCTAATTCAGAATAATTGACCAATAACGTATAAGCAGATCGGCATTTCTGCGTAGTTTTCATCAGTAGGATAATGTAAATGTACTGTATTATTATTAGTATCGATAACTGCCGGATATCTGCAGGATGAGTGCGGGATAGCTGCAGGATATCTGCAGGATAACTGCAGGGTCCTACCTAACGGCAGTTTTACTAGATCGCTACTTGTCACATTTCCTGGTAAGCAATGAGCGCCAGCGTCCTTGCATTGATGAATTACGAAGTATGACCAGGCGTAAGCCGCTGGATCTAATTTTTTTCTTAGTTAATAAATCGTTTGCGTCTTGAATCAAGAGTTGCATTTGTTATCTTTTATGGACTAACTTTAATGACGCTGTATCGACGGCTGCACAGTTTTTTTTTAATCAATTCAGTGGTTACGAAGAGTTAAATCACGCCATTTCTCGTGACATGAGTTTTAATTTAAACATGAAAATTTAACATGAAAAGTTGAGAGGTTTTAGGAGATCTTTGACAAAAAAAAATTTGCACACTGCTTGTTTTCATTCGTAAATATTTAAGAAAGTGGTTATCACTTTATCTGAAGTCGTAATACAAGTTTATGGTACGTTTTATGATATTAATAACGAAAATAGTTTTGTTATCTGAAGAGATGATGTGTCAAGGTCTTGACAGATATTTAAGAGAAAGTTTTGTTAAGAATAAAGACGGTAGTTTAGAACTGAGTGTGATGGTTTAGATAAGAGTTATCATACGATTTTTGTTTGATGGTCAGATCCTACATTAATTTAGTTTCTAAATAATGACTTTTCAATTATCGTTATTTCAGAGACATCCAATTTTGTATTATTGGAAATTCTCATAGCTCATATTCCAAAACTCCAGTATATTAACTGCGAACATTTTTACGTGTAATTTCTAACGATTTCAAGCGTTTTAGACCAAACTCGATCATTTATTCTCACTATGCCTCGAATAAACTTAACATTGATCATCAGCGATTGATTAGTCAGCTTAATTAAATTCTTTTAATTAATTTGCGTACATTCTTGATCTCTGCACGGTGATAAATAGTGTCCATTTGTACATGTTAAGTCGGTGCACTAGAAATGGTTCTGTTTTCTTCTCCTAATATATTGGAATAAATTCTTGAAAGAGCCAAAAATTTATCAATTGTCATCTATGTTTTTCTCCTAATATATTGGAAGAAATTCTTGAAAGAACCAAAAATTTAACAATTGTCTTCTATGTTTTTCTCCGAATATATTGGAAGAAATTCTTGAAAGAACGGAATGGTTTCAAAAATTTAACAATCGTCATCTAACTGACGCTTGCTAGTTAAAAAGTACCACTTATTCATATTCCTCGATAATAAAATCTTAACAATAATTCCGATACTTATCATTGACTGTTGTGATGAACGTCTAGTGGTGCTCGTGTGTATAGTCTTTAAGAGCTACCGTTCCGTTACCCTTAAAGTATTGACATTTGTTTAATGGTTGGCCCTAAACTCATAAAATTGAATGGATCACGTTGTTCAAATTTTCAATCCATTCAAGCTTTCCAAATTTTCAATCTTTCTAAACCGCAGCACAAGCAAAGCGCTCACGTATCACTGATACCGCCCTTTTGCCGGGCCAAATCGGGTTGGGATGACACTGTCTGACTCATTTCTATGAGTGTAAATACTCAAGAACTACATGAATAAGATTTTCGATAATTTAGCTGCATAAGCTCGAGGCGACCTCTGTCTTGTATTTATAAAGTTTGATAAGTGTGACTTTTTTGCCCAATTTTTAATAGTTTGTCATGTATCTCGGAAAATGTGGCATTGTAAATAACATCAACGGTAGTTAAGTTCGTGCAAATTTCTGTATCGTGCCCCGACATTGGTTATAATAATGAAGTATATGTGGAATGTTAACACCTTAGTCCGAAAACTTTTATTTCGTCTACGCCAGACTTTCCATATCGTTCGTGTGTGTTAGTTGTGCGCATAATTTTTAGAATAACCTAGCGAACTTCCATTGAACTTGTGCTTTATTAGACGGCTGGATCCTGTCGTATATATGTAATCTATGAATGTAATTCAATGGGAAATACATTTCTGAATTCATCTTCTTCTATAATGTTAGAAGGTAATGTACTCCTGAGCATTATTAATGATTCTACGTTGAGCTAACGAAAATTCGATTTTTCTTCTTCCATGGATTTTCTAGATATTCTAATGCGTTGAAATTATGAAGTTTTAAAACTATTTTGAGAACATATCACAAGCTTTTTTAGAACTTGCGTTTTCAAGCAATTCGTTCTAAAATTCATCCTTAAATTCGTTCTGAAATTCATCCTAATATTCGTTATGTTTCAAAGCAATACGTCAAGCCACGGATCACTATGATTTCAATTGTTCAGAGTCTTCCATTGTTGACTGAAATCTCCATGAAATAATTTTTATGGCTGGTCTTTGGTTAATATTCTGTTTCGTTTAAAAAGTTCCGAAGAAGCTTCGTTCAAGCGAAAACTAATCTTAAATAGGATTAAATCGTGTGTCTTGCATAGAATAGACATTTTTGTAGCGTGTCTCGAACTGTGACTAGAGAAATGGTAGTTTGTTTTGTACACGTGTCTTGTATGTCTGTGTTGATTTAGGATAATTTCACTCTCCTGGGGCCAGACTTCAAAAAAAGTTAAGAGTTCGTAAGTCCATCAATCACTGATGGCCTTTCAAGAAAAAATCCACCAATCGCTGCCGAGATAATAGTCACTATTTGGTGCGTAAGTACTTACGCGCACTTAAGCTGTAGTGCGTAAGTACTAACGCGCACTTAAGTCGTAGTGCGTAAGTACCAACGCCTACTTTAACCGTAGTGCGTAAGTACTTACGCGCAATTAAGCTGTAGTGCGTAAGTACATACGCCTACTTAAGCCGTAGTGAGTCTACTTAATACAGTTTTGAAAGTACGGACCCTGGATAGGGAACTCTACTCTGCATACACTACTTCGCTGGATCAAGAGTTTTCATTACGACCATGTTTATTCAGTTTCGTGTTCAACATGTGTCTTTTTTTGTATATTTGTAATTACTTTGAAGATGCAAATTCTGCATAACGGAGTTTCGTCGCACACGAAATGAATAATAGTTTGTTAACTGTAGTTAATTTGTTTGTCTGACTAATTTAGGAAACCTTTTCATTGATTTATTGTTGCTTACTTCGTGTAGCCGAAACAAATTTTCGTACAGGTAATTTCTTCAAATTACGTGGAAAAAAAATGTTCTTAAATTTATTGTTTCAGGAAATTATTATCATGCTTCAAATGCCTTTTGTCGAAGAATTTTAATATTCAAATAATCTGATGGTGCACGGAGACTTTCATAAGTCAGTGAGAGATATGAGAGATATTAATATTAATTTATTTT